TTGGCAACCACTAGTCTGCTTTCTGTCGCTATAGATTTGTCTATTCTGAACATTTCCTATAAATAGAATTATGCAAAATGCAATCTTTTGTGTTTGGCCTGTGTGATATTATAATAGAATTAGAAATATATATTTTTGTCTCTGCCTCCAATTCCTGGAATCTCTGCAGCAATAAGAGTGTCTCTTATACACTAATGAGATGACCAGTATCTAGGGTTGGATATTCGGGCAGGGGGACTGTGGGAATCTAGCCTATTACATTTGATATTTGAGGGGAGCATTAAAGTAGGATGTGCTAAATCCCATCAGAAGAAATCCATACCAGCTTTGGGGGAATCAGAGCCTCACATGTTTAATGTGGCCGCTCGTCCCTGTGAAGTGAGCAGATGTGGGGAGCTGCAGCAGAGCAGAGATGAACTGAATAGAGCGTGCTCTTCCTGTACCCTCTGAGGCATGAATAACAGTAAAAGCTGTCTAGTTAGCCAGCAAAAGAAGCAGACGGCTGATGGCTGTGTGTCAGATTTTCCTCTTTTAGGCCCTGCACATAGCTGGCCAGTGCGACTGATGGTGGTAGCCTTGGGAGCTCCCAAAGGGCAGAGACTGGACTGGGCTTCAGTTATTCCCTAGACGATGTGAGCTCTTGGAGGGAAACAGGAAAACCAAAACAGAAGCTATTGCACTGGCTTGGGTGGCCATGTCACACTTCCTCAGACCAGAGAACACAGTGGATAGCCCACCCTGTCCAGTGGGTAGAGAGATACCGCCTCAGAGAAATACTTGGACAGAAAATTAGAATGAACAGGCAGTTTAAACATCAGCTTTCTGAAACAGAGGATGGAAGTTAAAGCCCTGGGGGCGCTGTCTTGCCAGCCCACATGAGCGGGCTCATGCAGTGTTCCTACTGGAGGTTTTCTTTTTTCCCTAGAGGATCTGGGAAGGAGACAGCGGTAGGCAAGGATACTGGTCACAGCCAGATAATTTCTGCCAAGGGAGAAATACGCTGGTACAACAACAGTACTTCTCCACCTTTCTTCTCCATATCCCTCAACCTGCACCTTCCTGATGCTGTGATCACAGGATCCAGGCTGCAACTCTTAAGTGCTGCGAGCAGTGATGAGTCCTAAGAGAGAAACTGTAATTATGTTTTCAAATCGTGTTATTCAGCTTCCCATTGCGTAACAAGAAACACCCAAGAAAATCAACTTGAGAAAAAAAATGTATTTTGGCTCAAAGTTTCAGAAGTTTCAGTCCATGGTCACGTGACTCTGGCGTCTCTGGGCCTGTGGTGAGCTAGAAAACTGTGCCAGTACAGCATGGTAGAGGAATGCTACTTGCTTCAGGACAGCCAGGAGGCAGACAGAGCAAAGGAGCTGAGGGGCTGGGGACAATTTATACCCTTCCGATAAACTGGGTGTGGTGACACACACCTGTAATCTCGACACTTGGGAGGCTGAGGCAGGAGGATTGCTGTGAATTTGAGGCCAGCCTGCCCAAATAGTGAGTTCAAGGCCAGCCTGAGCTAATATATATATATATATATATATATATATATATATATATATATATATATATATGCCCCCAGCAAAATACGTCTTCCAACCAGACCTCACCTCCTAACACCACCAGTTGGCACCATCAGCTGGGGACCACAATGACCCACTGGGGCACATTCCAGATACAAACCTAAGGGTCGGGTGGGGCAGGCTGGGTCTTCGCCCCATCTCACAACACTTAGTCTAATAGCTCTACTTCCTGTCCTGCACCTTATCTTAGCTGAAGGGAGTGGTCTGAAAGAGAGGCACTTGCTGGTCTACCACGTGTTGCTGCCTACCATCTAGACCAGCATATGGGCAAACCTAATGTCCCTTCCAAAGATGGAAATGTTTGGGTATAAATAGAAAAAGGAATAGTAGCTGAGAGACTGTGAATACATGGGTTAAGTAATAAGAGAAATTCTGTATTACATGAACACTTTGAAAGGGGCTCAGAGAAAGAGATAACATTGTCTCTCAGCTCAGTTATACCGAATACCTGAAAGAATGGACATTCCTGTTTGCAGAGGCTTTTAGAGATTGAACGGGGGCCTGCAGATCTGAGTGCCGTCACCTGCAGGGACAGTTCATGCAATGCGATAATGGGCCAAACTAATTATTAACGGCTGAAAGGGATTCTAGGAATGTGCCCATATCTTCTGAAGTGTATTGTTTTGCTCGAGGAGGTCCAGATGCTGGAGACCAGGCAATGTCCTGTGATATCATGATATAATAAGAAATACGTATACTATCTGGCTTTTGCTACTGGTTTCTGGCACTCACCTCCTGAAACCCTTCAAACGTCTGGACTGATAAATGTGTCTTTTGTATGACCAGGCATGATGGTGCGTGGCTGTAATTCCTGTACTTGGGAGGGAGGGGCATGAGGATGGCTGCAAGTTTGAGGCCAGCCTGAGCTACATAGTGAGACACTGTCTCAAAGCAAACAACCAAACAAATGAAAGTGTCTTTTGCGTTGCTAATGACATGCTTGATAGCTGGGGGCTCCTGGATAGCCTCTTTTATTATTGAATTATAAGAGTTCTTTATAGGGGCTGGGGATTTAGCTCAGCGGCAAAAGCGCCTGCCTGGCAAGGGCAAGGTCATGAGTTCGGTTCCCGGTACCGGAGAAAAACCAAAAAAAAAAAAAAAAAAAAAAGAGTTCTTTATATATTTTAGATACAAGCCTCTTATTGGATATATATGATTTGCAAAATTTTCTATGGGCTATCTTTTCACTTTCTTTTTCCTTTTTTTTTTTTTTTTCCTGGCAGTACTGATGATTAGAACCAGGGTCTTGTGCCTGCTAGGCAAGTCCTCTATAATGAACTATATCCCCAGCATTTTTTTTTTTTTTTAAATTTTTGAGACAGGATCTAAATAGTCCAGGTTGACTTTGAACTTGTGATCCTCTTGCCTCGGTCTCCCAGGTAGCAGGGATCACAAGTGTGCACAATCACACCTGACTGTCTTTTCATTTTCTTGATGATGTTCTTTGAAGCACCAAGCTTTTCACTTTGGTGATGTCCAATTTATCCTTTTTTTTCTGCAATGCTGAGGAATCAAAACCAAAGCTCTCATACCTGCTAATAAGCAAGCACTCTATAACTGAGCTACATTCCCAGCCTCAGTTGTTGTTGTTGTTTGTTTGTTTTTGAGACAGGGTCTTGCTATGGAGACAGGCTGATCTTGAACTCACTATGTAGGCCAAGCTGGCCTTTAACTCCAAGCAATCCTCCTGCCTCAGCCTCCCAAGTAGTGGGATTACAGTTGTGCACCACCACGCCCAGCTCCAGCCCCAATTTATGTTTTTTTTTCTTTTGTTGCTTGTGCTTTTGGAGTCATACTCTAAGGCTGTTTTTGTTCAGGTTTGATTTGGGGGTTTTTGCTTATTTTTGTGGAGCTGAGGACTGAACCCAGGGCCTGTCACTGCTACGTACAGTCTCTTCCACAGAGCTACATCCCCAGTCTCTGGGGCTGTTTCAAAAGCTTTTTTCCCTTAGCTTCTTGGTCAGGGTTGGAAAAATAGCTCTGATTTTCCTTTTCTGCCTCCAAATTACTTAGGACAGTAGAAGCTAATATTTACTGAGTGTGTACTAAGTGCCAGGCTCTTCTTAAGAATTCACACAGCCCAGATGCACAGTCCAGGATCTTGGGGCCGGTGGAGGGTGGCCCAGCTGACCTGACTCAGGACCCATGTTCACAGCGCTGCTCTTGCTTGCCTCATCTTGATATTTGCTTCATTTTCGCCAGAGGAAAATGGTGCATCTGCTGTTGGTGTTCTTTGTTCCCTGCCCAGCCCTGAGGTGAGTCCCCCGCCCCCACTTCCTAGGACTGCCAGAATCGACAGACTCCAACACACACAAGGGCTTGTCCAAAAAGGCAAAACAACACCCTCCTTCATGACACATGGGCCTTAATAATTATCCCATTTATCCTCAAGTGTGCAATTTTTTAAATTTTTGCAAGAAATTCTTATATGTTACCTGGAAAAATTCAAGCCACAGAATTTGAAGAGAAAAAATATTCTTTAAATTATGTTCCATTGTTGAGTTATATAGCATTCTAATAATGAAATATTAGGCATAGTTAGAGCCTCTCTTTGGCCCTCACTTCCCCCTAACTGTGCCGAGCTGTCCTTTGGTTGAGACAGTCTAGGCTTGGCGTCCAGGGGTGGCCTGGCACTCCTGGGAAGTGGATTTCACTCTGGGGCTTGCCTTGGAACTTGCAATAAAGCTCCCAGGTTTAAAATAGTTCAAATGTCAATTCAATCAAGCAATCTTGTGGGGCAGTAGACGACAAAACCAAGGCAGAGCAGCTTCTCAGCTCCTCCTTGGGCTTTGAGTATATTGTTTTGAAGGGAACTTTTTTCTTTAAATAAATGAGATTAGAATTTCCCAGCAGGAGCCCAAAACCAACCCCATTCCACTTCCATCGGACTTTATCCAACTACCTGTCAAATCCATTTGAATCTATTTTAGAAATGGCTCTCCGCCTCCCTCTCCTGTTCCATCCTTCCTGCCACTATACCAGTTCAGATCCTTATCATATCGTAGAGGGCACAACTGGTCACATTTCTGTCTTTTTGCCCCTCTTAATGAATTGATTATCTCTTCATCATTGTCTTTCCCAGGAGACTAGAAGATCCAAACGCCAGAGGCCAAAAAGAATTAATTCCCCCAGAACCTAGCAGAGAAGCTAATATCTTAAAGGCATTTAATTAGAGCTGGGTGTGGTGGCACACGCCTGTAATCTCAGCTCTTTAAGAGGATGAAGTAGGAGATTACAAGTCTGAAACCAGCCTGGACAACTTGGTGAGTTAGCAACTCTTGTCTCAAAATAAAAAATAAAAAGTACTAGGGATGTGGCTCAGTGAGAAGACCCGGAGTCAATCCCCAGTGCTAAAACACCAAAAACAAACATTTTTTAGTGCTTTTAATTGGCACTAAGGCATTTAATTAGCGCTTGTAGAAGAAATATTCAGTGCCACACTTTTCCCACACTGCTTACAAATCCTTACGAGAAAGACCTTGTAATACAAACAAGTGTATTTCACATAACCCAGGTGTGCCAGAAGCCCTTCCTGTCCCATTATGTGGATGGGCCTTGCTAGTGCTTCAGGTGAGATTAGGGCAAAGTAGGGACCTTGTTTCCCACCATAAGGGGGCACCTGCTGGCCTGTGCAGGGGTGGAAAGCTGTAATACTCAACGTAAGGGTCATGACCAACACATCTATAGCAAAGACAGGTTAGCAAGAGAAAATTATTATGAGTTTATTTAATAAAGTTTTACGTGACGTGAGAGATTGAAGAAATGGAGACCTAGGAAAATGATATTTGTATGCTTACATTAGATGAAGAATGGATGGCTATGTAGCAGTGTCATTGTGTAAAAAGGGTATAGCCCAATGGTGACAACTTAAAGGGATAGGAGCAGGCCTGTCTGCGCGGACTCTTCACCGCCTGTCTGCATAGTGCCCCTTCCTCTGGGTCCAGGCCCTGCCGCCTCTCACCTGAGGGTCTTCGGGAGAGAAGAGAGAGCAGAGGGGAACATTTCGGGGCTCATGGCTCCCTTTGAGGGAGAGGAGTTCTAGTTTCTGTGACTCACCATGGGGAAGCGAAGTTCCGGCTTCTATGACTTGCTTGGAGGGAGACAGAGGGCTGCACACGGGGATGGAGAAGGTCAGAAACGCCGTGCTTCTCCTCCTTCCCATCGCTCAGCTCAAAGCATCAGCGTATCAGAGACCCACACTCCAGGATACGGAGTGAGCCCAACGCCTGGAAGCTCCTCTTCATCTTAGCTATGGAGGAGAATCTGGCCTGTGCCCCTCTCCCATCCATCTCCCTCCCAAGTGATCAGATATTAGTTTTCTGAACACACCCGCACCCATTTCTGCAAGTTCAAATACTCCCCGAACACTGATAAAAGAGGAACCGAATTTTTTCCCCAGAAAATTTAGGTAAGCATTACAATATCAGTCGCAAGAAGAGGATCAGCAGTTATCAGCCGCTCTGAGTACTGTGTTCCTTATTGTCGCAGGGGGAAAGGAGGAGCTAGAGTGGACAGGACCGAGGCTCGGAGCTTAGACCTCCAGGAGGGAACGCCGACAGCTGCTTCCTTGCTCTCCGTCTTCCTCTGCAGGCCTCTGCTGCCTCCCCTTAGGTCCTCCCTCACAGGCCACTCACTGGTGTCCCCAAACCTCTGCCACAGCAATCTGCTCCATGCTGCACCAACCCCTGCAAGAGAAAGTGGTCTGGGTTGTGGGCTTCTCTTAGTGTTAAAGGAAGGAAGATTGTATTACTGACTTAGGCTTCTGCTGGATGTTGAAGGAAAGTTTCCTCTGCCCAGCCTCAGGTACTCTGAGGCGGGAAGCCTGTAGGCTGGTCCTGGAGTGGAATCCCTCTAAATTCTCCTCACTCTGGGGCTGTGCAGGCTCATGACTAGGCCAAGTTTTCTTCTGAATTACCTAAGAATAAATGTCTCCCCAGGGCTACCATCACTCTTCTTCCAAAACAATGTGGACCAGTAGCAAAGGAGCAAAGTAATTGTGAGGTTATTAATGTATTCTTCATCTAATCTTATTATTAAAATTCTGACATTATTGTGATAAAGGCGTTTTTGTTTTATTCCTGGGTCTATTTCATGGCGAAGCTCCCTCATTAGTTGAGAATGTTTACTTCCTACCATCTCTTCCCAGATGGAAAGCTTATCCAGCCAGAGCAACATTAGAAATTCACAAGGTTACACATGGAATTAACAAGATAGCCCCAGTATGCTGGTGCATGCCTGCAATTCCAGCACCCTGGAGGCTGAGACAGGGAGATTGCTGCAAATTCAAGGCCTGCCTATGTTATATAGTGAGACCCTGTTTCCAAAAAACAAAACAAGGGGCTGGGGATTTAGCTCAGTGGCACAGCACCTGCCTGGCAAGCGCAAGGTCCTGAGTTCAGTTCCCGGTACCGGAAACAACCCCCCCAAAAAACAAACAAAAACAAAAACAAGAAACAAAACAAAACAAATTTAACAAGTTAATTGTAAACACTATGTTTACAAATTTGGGGCCTTGATCTATAAAGTGTCCTTTAAAAAATGATGTCTTTAATTTCAAAGGAAAGTGTAAATTCCTTTTTTGTTGTTGTTTTTCTTTCGGTACCAGGAATCAAGCTCACGACCTTGCGCTTGCCAGGCAGGCGCTGTACCGCTGAGCTAAATCCCCAGCCCCAGAAAGAGTAAATTCCTAATGGCCACATGTCTTTTTGCCTAGAGACCTCTTCTAGCTCATGCTCCAAAAGATGATAGGAACCAATCTAAGATTTCCAGCAAATTCTTAGAGTTCAGTGTAGTTCAGTGACTGCTTACTAGATATCTGCTGTGTGTAGTATTGAGTGATGAAGATGCAAAATTCTCATGGTTTTTACGACTTGCCTTTGAGAAATAACAAGCCAGAACAACTGCTGACACAAAAAGTATTATTTCCTTTATCATGTCAAATTAACAGCAAAGGAAGAAAATATTATACCAAACTGACTTATCCCCCACACTCTATATCCTACTGAGGATTCTCATGAGATAGGCCACTGGGGTTCAGAAGTTTAGGGAAAACATTTCTAATTCCTTCTGTTCTTTCCTTTGAAGTGACTTCACTTGACAGTGACAAAGAAATCTGTTCAAGCAAAAGTAACATTCAAAAGAAAAAAAAAGGATTTAAAAAATAATTCAATCTCAAGCATATTTCAACTGGAATTATGAGTGAAAAATAGCGCGAAAAAATGTATCCGAGGCATAGCTGGAGAAAAATGTAACTTTTTCTTAAACTGCTTCATATGAGAGAAATCACTTATGGGAATCTAAAAGGAAACAGTTTCTGAGGGAGGAACTCGGCTATGTTACTAGTGGGTCTTCAGAAATACCCTAATTTTCCACTCATCTTTGTTTTAAAAAATCATCAACCTCCATTGGAAACTTCCAGGCATAGGCAAATTACCAAACATATTATAAATTTTCAGGTGCATTTGTCCTTCTACCTTCAATTTAATATAAGATTCTATACGAAATTTGCATCAGCACAACAAACAAGTGCTTCAGAAGTAAGCCACTCTGAATGATTTGCCCACTGTCATTGAATGAAAATACCAATTGGCTGGGTTTGGTTTTGATTTTACACCTCAAGAAATGATGTCACCTGCTACTTTTTGATCAAAACATGAATCTAGTTGGTGGCTTTGATTCCTTTTCCTCACCATCTATGTGTCCTGTTGACTTCACCACTAAGTCAGAATCCAAGTGTCCATTTCTTTCCATCTCCATTGCTGCGGTCTAGATCCAGGCCTTTAGCATCTTGCACAAGAACTACTGCTCTATTCTACTAAAATCCATTCTCTGTCCACTCTGGCTCCCTAAACTCCATCCTTCTTATACCTTCCAGATTCATCTTTGAGAGCTGAATTTGTTCATTTTACTCCTCACTCTTGAAATCTTCCAGTATCTCCCATCACACTAAAATAAAATGCAAACTTCCTGCCATAGTCCATAAGGCTCCAGGTGATCTGGTCTATTTCTTTGATCTTACACACTTTATTCTCACCAACTACTCCTAGTTACAGCAAAACACGATGTTCCTTTAATCCAAAATCAACCTTGTCCTCAACTCAGCAGCTACGCGTTGTGGCTTAGGTAAGTGTGTTCCAAAGGCCCGTGTGTTGAATGCTTGGTCTCCAGCCTTGATGCTAGTGCCAAGCAGAGGAAAGTTTAGAAGTGACAGCTACTGGGGACATCATTGGGGTGTGCCCTTTAAGGGTGTACAGGGACCCTAGCTCTTTCTTTTTCTTCTTTCACTTCCTAGATGCTAGATACAAGCATCTTGCTTGTGCACCTTCTTCCTGCCATGAAGTACCATCTAATTTCAGGCCCAATGGGACTGACTGACCATGAACTGAAGACTCCAAAACTGTAAGCCAAGATCAATCTTTCTTCTTTCTAAGTTGATTATCTCAGGTATTTTGTTGCAATCATAGAAAGTTGACTAACTGCTGTTTCTTCCTCCTGGAACTCTTTTCTCTAGATTATTTTCATTACCCTTTCTGCCCAACATGTGGCCCATGGACAAAACAACAAGCATCATCTGGATCCTTATTAGAAATGCAGAATCTCAGGCCAGAACCTTCACCTACTGAATTATAATCTACATGTTAATGTGACCCATGGGTGACTGGTATGCAAACATTAAGTCTCAACGCAATTGCTACCTCCTTAGAAAGACTTAGCTGACCCCAAACTAAATTAGCTTCCCAAACCATTTCCTTTTACACCACTTATTTGATTATTCTCTTGGAAATTAACTTTAGACAAAAACATCTTATTTACTAATTCACACGGTTACTGCTTTTTTTCTCCTTTACAATGTAAGCTCTTTGAACATAGGGACCATATTTCTGTTCTCCACTACTTTTTACCACGTAAACTCTCTTATCAGTAAATACTTGATGCTAAGTGAATACTCTATTATATATTTAATCTTAATGATCAAAGAGAGGGGAGAATAAAACAAGTTTATGATTTCTGTTTAACCTGGCTTTTTCTAACAAAATTATCAGCTAGAAACATTGTTAGGCATATTAGTAGTTGTCTTAGCACAAATCACTTGCTGAATCCTCATCATGCTGTAGGAGAAAGGAAAGAAAGAAGCTAGCCTCTGAACATGAAATACCGTGAACGGCACTGCAAATACAGCACTGCAGAGGCAAGTAAAATAAGACCCCAGGAGGCTCCCAAACATGGACTGAATCATGCTAGCTTCTTACCTTCAAGAGCCTGCACAGGACTGAAGATTGGAGTTTTACATTTCCTGCTGTAGTCCATGAAATATATCACCTAAGAAAGAAGAATATGTTAATAACATCCAATTAAGAAAACCACAATATAGTGTACAAACCTGCAATCATAGCTATCAGGGAGGCTGAGACAGTAGGATGTCAAGTTTGAGGCCAGCCAGGGCAACTCAGTGAGACCCTATCTCAAAAAAGGATGGAGTCCAGTCCAAAGGTCCTGGGCTCAATCCCCAATACCATTTTTTTTAAGGGTGAGGGTTGAAAATGTAGCTCAGTGGTAGAGCACTTGCCTAGCATATGCAGGGCTTGGTGTTCAATCCCCAGTACCGCCAAGAAAGAGGAGGGGGGGATTAAAGGAGGGAGGACAAGAAAAGACAATTTATCACGTGACATCTTACTTTCCTCACTCATCAGCTAGCCAGAGGGAAGGTGTCGGTAGAATGTGCATCTATTAAACTGGTCAAGTACAAGCAGTTGAATTAGATTTGTAGAGCATTTCCATTGTTCTGGTAGGAACAGAATCCATATGTATGTGTGAGCTAGCAAATAAAAAAAGGTGTAGTTTTACTAACTTTCCTTACAAGTCTGTGCTTTTATATTTACCTTTAAAATGGACCCAATGCAATATAGACATGGATAAAATGTATGATAATTCTTAAATTTTTAATTTTTCTTTACTTAGACTGATAATGACATCAAGTGGGAAATTTAAAAAAAAACACTTTCACAATTCAAGCGAAAGAATACAACTTCGTATTTTGAAAAAGGGCTCCTTTAACTTGCTTGTAGCTAGTCAGTAAGCTGTCTCAAAGGGTTTTTTGTTTTTGTTTTTATTCTGTGGATTGAACCCTTGGGATCTTCTTGCAGAGCTACATCCCCAGCCTTTTAAAAATGTGTTTAAATTTTGACACAAGGCCTCTCTAACTCACTGAATTGCCCAGGCTGGGCTTAACTTCGCTGTCCTCCTGCCTCAGCCTCCCAGAGTGCTGGGATTACAGTAGATGCCACCAACTCAGCCTTGAAAGAGCTTTTCTTAAAGAGCTCTAAACTTCTTCTCCACCCCCAAATCATCAAAGCACCTTTCAGATGTACCCAGTTCAGCACTTTCTCCAGTCAGGCATCATTTCCCTTTAACATTAAGACTGAATCATTAACTAAACGTTCCAGGCCTGGAACAGCAGCACCAAGCCTGAGTGGAGATTGTTCTCCCTGGCTGCAGACCAGGAGCCAGGTTAGACCTGCGGTTTCAAAGTTTAACTTTACACCAACAGTACAGTGCCTCAGGGGCAGGGTCCATAAAGAAAAGACCTGACACCTTTACCTATGAGTGTCCTGATGGTTTTGGATCATTAAAGGCCTTCAGGTTTGGGCCTCCCTGGGGAAACAGCAGAGAATAAATGCTTTCATTTCCTCTTGCCCCCAGGGCGAAACCAGGTGGCTAAGTGGAACTACTTACACATCTTAAGGGACACAGAAGTGGTTAGGGAGACCTTTGGGGGGTGCGGGGCGGGCTGCCTGCTAGAAACCCTGGGTAGTAAAGTCAAAAGCTCCTTTTGGATTGAACCCAGAGCCTTTGCACTGAGTTTCACACCCAGCCCTTTTTAAAGCAAATTCAAAAGAGAATCTCACTAAATTGCTCAGTTGCCCAGGTTGGCTGGGGTCTTGGGATCCTCCTGTCTCAGCCTCCTAGAGTGCTGAGATTACAGGCATTAGCCACTATGCCAGACTGGACACCTCCTTTTTGTCGGCAGTGTGACCTTGGATTGGTCATCTCCTTGTTCATCTCCTCACCTGTAAATTAGGGCAGCAATATTTGCCTGCTTGCATAAGGAGTTGTTGTGAAAATAAAATGAAATCTGTTTTTTACGGGAAAGAACTTTTTAACAGTAAAAGCATGCCCAGTGTTACAATGTAACTAAAGATGAAGCATGGCGGAGAACATTTTCTTTTCTTTTCTTTCCTTTCCTTTCCTTTCCTTTCTTTTCTTTTCTTTTCTTTTTTCTTTTCTTTTTTCTGAGACAGGGCCTAGCTATGCAGTTCAGGCTGGACTTGAGCTCACTTTGTAGCCCAGGCTGGTCTCAAACTCGCAATGGTCCTCCTGCCTCAGCCTCCTTCCCGAGTACTGGGATTACAGGAGTACGCCACCACGACCCATTGGAAAACATTTTCAAAGTAATGTGTTCAGCTATTTAGCAGAGCTAAGCACCACCCATAAGCCAGGTTCTGTTATAGATGACAAAGAAAAATCAATGAACAAAAACAGATTAGCTGCACTTATGTACAGTTTAGTTTGCGAGCCAAGGATAAGAACTATATGTAGAAAATGAGAGCGGGGTTGCAGTTTATAATAGGATGGTGTGTCAGATTGCTATAATTATGGCCCCCAATAAATCACACTCCTATGTTCACAACCCCCTGCAGCAGGAGCCCTTGAAGCTTCCACTTTTCACTTTGGAAACATTCGTGACCTGTGTGAGGGAGCCAGGACTAGACTGCAGTCTGAGGTACCTGGAAAGAGAGCGACTGCTGACCGCGGCATTGAGGCCCCAGGAGAGACAGTGACACATTCTTACACACTCTAGTGTCAGCTCTACTGATTTACCACAGTGCCTAGCACATGGCCATGAACCCAGCTGGATCACAGAACTGTGAGAAATAATGTTGGTTTTAAGAAAAAGCCAAAGACTCCTATCTGAGAAGGTGATTTTTTCTTTCATGGACTGAACTCAGCACCTTGCACGGAAGCTACATCCCCACCTTTATTTTTTTTAATCTTTTTGAGATAGGGTCTCACTATGAAGTTCAGACTGGCCTTGAGCTCCCTTTATATCCCAGGCTGGTCTCAAACTTGCAACAATCCTCCTGCCTCAGCCTCCCTCCCATATGCCTGTACTGGTATTACACGCATATGCCATCACCCCCAGCTCTCACTCTTTTTGTATTCTGGGACAGGATCTCACTAAGCTGTCCAGGCTGGGCTCAAACCTCACAGAAGGCTAGGCTTACAGATAGAGGTTATCACACCTGGCTGAGAAGGGACACTTAAATAACAGTTGAAGGAAATTGTTCCAGATTTAATAATTGTGTTTCTCCTCAAATTCCTATGTGGAAGCTCTAACTCAGTGTAGCTGTATTTGGAGATGAAGCCTCAAATTAAGAGGAGGAAGTAATCAAGGTTAAATGAGGTGTTAAGAATGGGGCTTGATATAAACGCTGTCTTTATAAGAAGAGAGCCTAGAGCACCTCTGCACCCTTCTCTCAAAGCACACACTGAAGAAGGACATGTGGGACAAGGCAAGGAGGTGGCGGACTGCAGTGAGGACGGGAGCCTCGCTAGACACTGACGGCCAGAACCTTGATCTTGAACTTCCAGCTGCCAGAACAGTGAGGACATAGACTTCTGAGTTGAAGCTGCCCACCCCTTGGCATTTCATCACAGCTGGGGCTGAGGCCGACTAACACAGAAACCAGAAACCGTAGCAGGGAGAGCACGCCAGGCAGAAGCGTGGGCTGGTGCGAAGACCAGGATGTGCAGGCGGGAGTAGAGGAGGGAGGAACGGCTCAGAGAAGTCGGACGTGTGCACATCAGCGGCCACTTAAGTAAAGACTTTGCCCGTGACTCTGAGTGAAAAGGAACGTTGGCACACAGATCTGCTGGGTGGACTGACATGTTTTCAAAGGACAGACATTTCCGTGACATTTGGCTTTTGTGTAATGATAAACACATGTGACTTGTAATCAGGAAAAAAGGCATCAGAACACATAGAAGGCTATGGAAGAATAAGCAAACAAGTACAATCTGTGACCCTTAATTCCAACTTCCGGGGTGCAGAGAAAAGCAGGGAGACAATGAGAGAAATAAAAGGCCAGGGGGACAGATTGAAGCTGATTAGGAGTACCAGCCCCATGCTCCTGTGGTCCCCCAGAGTCTGTGAGAACACTGCTAGTGTCCTGTTCTCTGCATTGGGCTCCACCCTTTATTCCCCCTCTGTGGGGTGGTGTCTGGCAAGATTTAGGAACGCCGAGCAGAGAGTGGGCCAGAACTGGAGACAAAGCATGGATCAAATGCTTCCTTGCTGGGAATCAAATGCCTCTGATTTACTGCAGCACTCAGCATATTGCTCGGCTTAGTTGGGGACAGAAGCTCAATGACTTTTTTTCTTTTTTTTTTTTTTTTTTTTTTTGTTTTTTTTTTTTTTTTTTTTTTGGTTTTTCTCCGGTACCGGGAACCGAACTCACGACCTTGCGCTTGCCAGGCAGGCGCTTTTGCCGCTGAGCTAAATCCCCAGCCCCAATGACTTTTTTTCTAAGACAGGGTCTCACTCTGTAGTCCAGGCTGGCCTCGAACTTGCGGTGACCTCCAGCCTCAGCCTGCTGAGTGCTCGAATCATGGGCACGGGCCACCATGCTCAGCTTCAATGACTATTTCTTGAAGGAAAGGCTGAAGTGACCTGACCACTGTCATTAAATTATTCTGCCTACCACTCTCCCCATTATTAAGCTGTTTCTTTGTTGGTAAAACTGAATTCTAAAGAGGAAGTGAGGGGCTGCTACTTTGTAGAAACAAGCAGCAAAATCAGCTTTTTATAAGACCTGCGTATTTCATAGTCTGTTCACTTTTTAGAATGCAGCAAATTGAGCTGAAACTTCAATTAAGGTTGAGATCACCTATTTTGTCAGATAACCCTTTACACACTATCGTTTCTGTCAACGTGCAGATTGGGATTTGCAGAGCTGAAAAGGCAGTGGAAAGGTGGTAGGAGCTGTGTTATCTTGTAGAAATGCTGTTTACTGTCTTCCCCTTGTCTGGTTGGCAAGTAGATGAAGAAAGATGAGCAATGCAAACCCATCTAAAGTACAAGAACCTTCGCTATACCCAGTGGATGCATTTCCTAAACAGTACACAGTCTTTTTTTTTCCTGAGTTACAGAGGAGCTCACCCTGAATAGAAGGAAAACTTCTGCAAAGGATCATTCTTGTCATCATTTGTTCTGCGAACTTGGAGTTGTTGGATCTAGTATTTTCCAATAGGACACACAGGTTGAAAGGAACTGTTCAAAGGAAGTAAATCGGGGGCTGGGGATTTAGCTCAGCGGCAAAAGCGCCTGCCTGGCAAGCGCAAGGTCATGAGTTTGGTTCCCGGTACCGGAGAAAAACCAAAAAAAAAAAAACAAAAAAACAAAGGAAGTCAATCACCAACTTTGTGATCATAGAGATGACTTCTTCAATCTTTGGGGAGCGGTGGTAGTGGGGATCAAACTCAGGACTTTTACATGCTAGGCGAGCATTCCACCACTGAACTACATTGCTCTCATCCTCTTGAATAGATTACCTGAATACTTTTGGTCCCCAGAACTAGTTTCATTATAAGTCTCAAGTTAGCTAAAAAGAAACACAAAATATTAGCCAAGTGTGGTGGCTGCCTTGAGTTCAAGGCCAGCCTGGGCTACACAGTGAGTTTAAGGCCAGCGTGAACTGCACAGTGAGATCCTGTCCCAAGGGGAAAAGAAGAAACAAAATACTGGAAAGCCAAGCAACAAATTCTTTACTCCTCTATAGCTAAGCAGGCAAACATGCTTTGTTGTGCATTCAATAACTCAGCCCAAGTTAGAGTTCCTTGCTGTTCTTTAGAAATCTGTCTTTGGGCCTTTTGCCAGATGGATCATCCATTGGGTCCGACCCAAGTTTAGAGAACTACTTAGAAACAGTCATAACCAACCAAAGAGAGGTTCTTAGCATTAAAATGTCTGATTACCCTGACTTGCTAAACAAAATAAACAACTTAGTAAATGCATGGAGAGTTTGTGAGACATTAAGTCACTAATCACTTGTCCTTGCTGTCTTCTCGAAGGAGAGAAGGTACGGTAAGATTCTTGGGGCAATGTGCATTTCCTTAACTCCACTACAATCTTACGCTTCAATAGCCTTGTTTTCTAGTTGTTGGGGTTTTTTTTGTTTTGTTTTTAACATATATTGCAAATGTTTCAGAAACATGATTAGTGAAAACCATTTAAGTGTATTAAGCACTCACTCTGCAGGCGTGGTCCTAAGGGGCTCCCTCAAGTGTTAACCCATACAGCTATGCTGCCAGGGAAGTTAAAGCACACAGATGTTGAGTGTCTTGGCTTCCAGGAGGAGGTTCCAGTAGCTTAAACCCTGAGCACCGAACTCTGCCCCTTCTCAATTCCAATGACAAAGAGCAGGTGGCTAGGACTACTGGCAGAAAGCTCTGTGTATTCACAGGAAGTGAAGACCTAGGCCACGAAAATTAATTGAACTTCATACAAGCAGGAGGACTGTAGCAAAAGAATTCAGTATGAGGAGGGTTAATTTAGTACCTCTAGTAATGTTCTCCAAAACAACTGCAAGACTTTCCAGTGTACTGCAATTGGACACACATGTTATTTGCTTTATCTTTAGCTCTGGCTGGGTGGAAGAACTGAGGCCACACTTAGTATGTGTCATTGGGCTAATTTTATTCTGTAAATAATAGAATAACTGTTTATAATATTTTAAAACATTCCCACCCCTCTCCTGGCTTCCTCTACGTTCCTTTTTATTCCTCCCTCAGCTGCCTTTCTTGGTCACCACTGACTCTAATTTTAGTCCTGGTAAATGAGGAGATTCTCTTGTTCATATTGACTATATGTGAGTTTTATGATCTCTTTTTTTTTGTTTATTTTCTGGTACCAGGAATCGAACTCACAACCTCACGCTTGCCAGGCAGGCGCTGTGCCACTGAGCTAAATCCCCAGGCCCTGAGTTTCATGGTTTTGTAAAAAGATTTACTCTCTTTGACCCGGGGACTGAAGACACAAAATTGTCTCAAATGACAATGCATGGTCTAGTTAAATTTACTTCCTCACACTGAGCTCATAGGTAGTAGAACAAATCACAGTGAGTACAGTGAAAGGAAAAGCCAAACAAACAAACCGACAAACGCTTTGAGATGCAAACCTAGAGAGGTACTTTGGCCCAGCAGGAGTGAGAGTTAGTTTTCTCAACATTCTTCCTTTTCTGTCTGCTCTAACCATTGGCTTCCTTCGCACAGACCACAAATACCTGATTTCTTGTCCTACCCCAGATGGTGAGTACAGTGACTGGGCCAGCCACAGGAAAAGAGGTAGCAATGGCAAACCCAGGCCCGGTGAAAATCAAGGTAAGGACGGTGCAGGCGCCCAGTGCTGCCTGGGGGGATAACAGCCTGAGAATCTGTGTTTGAAATGCCAGGCTGGAAAGAAAAGTCACACCTGCCTGGAGGGCCCAGCAAATGTTAGGGTTTTCCTGCACCCACCTTTCTGGATCTGTTGAATGTCACTCCTCTCCACCACGCTGACTCTGCACCAAATAGCTGAGACAGAGCTTTCCCATTTCTGAGTGACCATGAGGAAAGATGCTCATGCCTTTAACATTTAGCGAGGGAAAATAATTACATTTCCTTGGGTGAACTGCCCTTTCACGACTGTCAACAGCCTAACAGAGGAAACAAGTTGTAACGCTAAGGACAGATGCTGAGACAGATCAAAAACTTCTCTCTAATGCTAAAGAATGAAGGAAAATCCTGGCCTGGGGCATATTTATGTAACCAGATGTCAACACTGATTTCAAAATATCTTTTGGAATTGCTGACAAAACACCAGTCATCTGCTGTGTAGTCTGGTGGGACAGCAAAAACTGTCTGACTTACCAGTGTCCCTCTCTCTTGCTAGAAGGCTGACTGTGGACACACGGCCTGTTTCTTCCCCTGTGAAGTGGGGACAACCCACATCTCTCTGGTCTGCAGTGATGACTCAAGTGCCCATCTTGCAGAGTCAAGCACTGCACTATTATATTGTTCTGGTCACTTCCTGATGCCTTCCTCTACCTTTAGAAATGGAAATCTGATAGCATATAATTGCAAAGAATGGTTGTTGCTTAGAATTGCTAAGTGGAAGGTGTGGGCTTGAATGTGTCAGTTCAGATGAATAGGCCATCTTTAACTGAACTTCCTGCCTAGTGTGATGATAGATTAATAGCAAACTGTTATTATGCACAGTTTATCTCCATTGGCAGGCACTGTACCGACATAATCTTCACAATATTCCAGGGAGGAGATCAGTGATGTAATCACCATCGTCAGAAAGATGAAGGGTTATCATTAGAATGGTGACCAGATGTTTCCACTACGACAAAAGCCAGAGTGAGTAGGCCTAAGCTGCAGGCAAGATCTGGGTTAAATCTTTGGAGAGATGCATCTTGAAGAGATTCCTATCCAGTGTCTCATTTCAAAGTGCTGAATAATGTGGCTACCAATAGCTTTTTGATGGCAAATTGAAAAGATATTTTACACTGTGTACACTGCGTGGCTTAACATCCACGTGTTTGCTTTGAGCAGGTCTCTTCTGTAACTACTCTAGTCAGTTTTCATACTGTGTACCACTTGGCTGTTTTCCAGAGGCATTCTGAAAAACCTCAACACGGGCAGGTTATGCCATGGTTAGCTGCGCAGCTAACCCAGGCACAGCCCGAAGGTGAAGCAGTGGAATGGGGTTGCCTAGCCACCTGGGTGTCACCTGGAGGTGTCAGTGGATGGTGGGCTTAGCAGCAGTCCATGTGCCATTGGGGCAGTTACAGGACCTTCAAGACCTCACATTTCCGGATGACTCTGTGGCCAACTCCTCAGCCATCAGTGCAGTGGCATCGACCACTCTTTCCTGCAGTTGCTATGGAGATATGAACAGCCAGAGCCTCTTAAGTAGGAGCAAACTGGGGTGTGGAAGTTGGCATAAGCCACAAGAGGTGGCTAGAAACACCAGCCACCAGCACATCCTCTTCTCAGCTCCTGACCAGTGGATTCATTGCTGATAAATGTGTTGGTTAGGACAATACTTTTCCAACTTTAATATGACAAAATTGCAGCAATGTCAACTTGCTAAAATATATTGTCACTCTGGGGAGGGACCTGAGATTTAGTTTCTAGTAAGTTCCTACATACAGTTGTTTTGAGTAGCGAGATCTTGCATTATCAGTGCCCCCTAATTAACTGTGCCTTAAACAACGATTTATGTCTCCTTTACACAACCTTTGGTCTGCACAGTCTAAGCTGGACCCATTTGCACAGCCACAGTTCAAGCTGCAGAATGGGGAAAAGAGAGGGGAGCTTCCCATGAAGAGCCCAATCCAGTAAGAGCACATTCTGCTTCATTCCCACTGAGCTAGAATTCAATCATTGGCCACATCTAGCCACAAGACCCAGAAATGTTTTCTTTTATACATGTTTTATTCTCTGTTTCTGATGTCCATTGAAAATTCCACTACCAAGGAAAGAAGGAATGCATATTAGGGAAGGCTAATAGTCCGTTACAGTGGGGAACAAAAGTAATAAAAGTGTTGAGTACTTACTATGTGCAAGGCACAGAACTTAAATGAATCACCTCACTTGTCATAAAAAACAAAAAGACCCAGGTGCTGGGGATTTAGCTCAGCGGCAAAAGCGCCTGCCTGGCAAGCGCAAGGTCGTGAGTTCGGTTCCCGGTACCGGAGAAAAAAACAAACAAAAAAAAAAACAAAAAGACCCACAACCCAAACCAACAGGGTAGCCACTACCATTTCATAACATTAGTGACGAGGCCCAAGAGATGATGTAGCTTGCTGAGTTACGCAGATGAGGCAGGGGTACGCTTCAAATCCAGCCTCTCATTCCAGAGCCTGGGAATCAATCTTGGGAATAAAGGGAGGGTAGCTGCTAATGACAGCAGGCAGGGCTAGAGAAGTTTCTACCACAGGGATCCCACAGTGCTGTGTATGTATTTTGGGGACAATAACTGTGACTAGGAGATAAACTTCCCAGAATCAACTCATAGCAAAGAATCTATGACCTTCCACAAGAAAGGTGACACTTATCTGAGAGTACAAATTGTATTTCCAGAGTCAAAACCTCAAGGGGGATTGGGGTGTAGCTCGGTGATGAGAGTTCCTTTAGTGTGCCTGAGGTCCTGGATTCCATCCCTAGCGCGCACACATACACAAACTGAAGAATGTCTACGTTGGGTTTTTAAGATTTGTAAGTGAGGCAATTCATTCCCAGTTCCGCCTGCACGACCCTCATGCCCGGTTTAGCCATACCCAAGAGGTGCTGCTTTGTGGCCTGCTGCTCTTTTATCCTTACTCCAGCACTCCCTTTTTTTTGGTACCAGGAATCGAACTCAGGACCTTGGGCTTGCCAGGCAGGCGCTTACGCCACTGAGCTATATCCCCAGCCCAGCAACCCCATCCTGAATGCCTGCTGCCCTTGTCCTCGGAGAGCCACAGCTGGCCTAGACCAGATGGAGCCACTCTGTGTCACTGTCACAAGTTAGAGGACATTGGGAACTTGTTTCCAGGGGCTTGTTCTTTTTGTCCTCCTCCCGGCTTTTTTTTTTTTTTTTCATGAAAGGGGCTTTTTGTTGGCAGTTTTTGTTTGGGGATTCAGTTAATAAAGGGACCATTTTATCAAAATGAACTACTGATGTAAGCACTGCCAGAAATCTCTGCAAAAAGGACAGCATTCTGGCTTTTGTTCAGCAAGGTGAATGGAAACAACTCTTAGGCACTGGTCTCAAGGGCACTTTGGAGTGTGCTGCAACTTGAGCAACTTGGAGAGTTTGGTTACTAGTTGATGCAGAAACCAGTAAGACCTCACCTTAAATTAGAAAAATGTCAAGTCAGGACCTCGTGGCCAGGAGCTATACAGAACGAATTCCTCCCGTTAACAAATTGCTGAATCTCCTGTACCAAGAATGGAGTCCCTGTAAAGATCAGTTCATTGCTTCAAACCTTTAAGAAAACCAGTCTCTTGCCCAGACAGCTGAACTCTAGTGAAAAAAGTCAAAGAGCCACAATAAAACCAGGTTCTCTCAGATTTTGTGGGTCTCATCCACACATGGAATACTTAGGGATTTTTAAAATGGGTGTTCGTATCATTTACCATGCACTAAACTACATTTGATATGGATCAAAAATCTAAATATTAAGATAGAAACAAATCTGCTGGAAGATAGAACAGGTAAAACTCTTGAAGACATTGGTGTAGGCAAAGACTTTATGAATAAAACACCAATTGCACAGGAACTATCACAAAGAATCAACAACTGGGATCTCACCTTATTAAAAAGCTTTTGTACAGCGAGAGAAACCCCCAACAGAGTGAAAAGACAACCCACGATGTGGGAAAAAATGTCTGCTGGCTGTTCCTCAGACAAAGGATTCCTATTGAGAACATATAAACTCAAAAAAAAAAATCAAGACCTCCCAGATTTAATGACCCAATCCAAAAATGGGCATCTTAGATGAATACATACTTCTCAGATGAATACAAACAGCAAATTTATGAAAAAATGCTCAACATCATTGGTCATTCAAGAAATGCAAATTAAAACAACACTGAGATTCCATCTCACCCCAGAAAGAATGGGCATCATCAAGAATTCAACCAATAACAAATGCTGGTGGGACTGTGGGGAAAAAGGAACCCTTCTCCTCTGTTGGTAGGAGTGCAGACTGGGGTAAGCACTGTAGAAATCAGTGTAGAAATTCCTCAGAAAACTAGGATTGGAGGTCCCATTTGACCCAGATATTCCCCTTCTGGGTATCTTTCCAGAAGAATTAAAAACATCATACTACAGGGGCTGGGGATTTAGCTCAGCGGCAAAGCGCCTGCCTGGCAAGCGCAAGGTCGTGAGTTCGGTTCCCGGTACCGGAGAAAAACCAAAAAAAAATAAAAATAAAAAATAAAAACATCATACTACAGTGATATATGTGCACCCATGTTTATAGCAGCACAATTTGTAATAGCTAGATCTTGGAAACAATCCAAATGCCCATCAACTGAGGAATGGATAAAAAACATGTGGTCTTTTAATATAATGGGAGTATTACTCAGCCATAAAGGATAGAGACTTTTATAGGTAAATGCATGCCACTTGAGACCATATTTATCACTGAAATAACCATCATACTGTCTCCCTAGTGTGAGAAGCTGAAAGAGTAAATAATATCCCAAAATGTACAATAGGTAATTGTAAAATGGAAAGAAACTTCAAAAGGAAAGAGAAATTGGGTTGGGGGAATGAAGAAAAGGTGGAAGGGAAAAGTAAAAGGAAAAAAAAATATATGTATAAAAGCTAGTTAAAATAGTTATACTACTTTCTCTTATTTCATTTGAAAGATAGGTTTGTGCTAATATTGCTTGGACAATTAAATGTTAAGATCTCATACTCTGAGTAATTTAAAGATAACAATACACAATGTATTAACCACTGTTACCCTCCTATCATATTGTTTTGGAATTTTGCTTTTTCTTTAAAATAAAATTTTTAAAAATGGGTGTTCAAGGGACTTTAGACAAGATGAAAATACTGTTATGCACCAAATTGGTACATTCTAACTTGTTTCCCTCAGTCCTGGTGCCTGTGACACCAACATAGACTTGTGAAGACACGAGTTGACAAAATACTTGAGTCTGCAATTCCCTCAGCTGTTGTGTGCTGAGACTCCAAGGCCCAGGGTATTTCAAGACTGTTCTATGAATCAGTTTCTCAGGAAACCTCTTTTAGCATACTGCTGCTTGCCAACGGTGGCACTGAATGAGGTATTTAAATCAATTAACCCTGAACTTTTCAGAATTCAAGGACAATTATAGAAGGCTGATACAGAAAACAGAAACTGGGAAGAGATATTGTTTGAAGGCATCTAACACCAATCAGGTATAAGTGACTGAATCCCAAGTACT